GGCACGTCTTACCTTTCCATGAGAGTCAAACACTGATCATGCTGTTAAGCACATGTCATGTTTTATCCCAGAGGTAGCTGCACTTCTAGATTAGGTCAACACGGTTTCTACTGGCTCTGAAAACTTTTGGAGATTTTTTTCTGCATAAGTAGTGATCTCTTACATGCAAGATTAAGGTCATCTTGGTCGTTAAAAGGGCGTTCTGCACCAAGAAACGCATCTTTTGCAAACAGATCTCTACTGCAAGTTACATCTGGAAATGAAAGGCCTCTTGATTTAAGTCTGCCATCACTCAAAAGTCATCCTATAGGAAAGGATAGGGGGAAAAACAACTTTAAAAAAAAGCCACAGATAATAATTATTCAAAATTAACCTTTATGAAGTCTAAAACCCCAAACCATTGCCCTTTAAAATCAGTACTCTTTAAAAATCACGGCCTTTAGCACATATCAGCCTAAAGCTGTTACGTGAGCATGCGGGCCGCTCCACGATCCCGCTGGGACAGCACGGGGGGACCTTGCACGCCGCACACTCCAAAAAGTGAAAGGGAAAGAGTCTTAATTTTGCTCCACTGCCATTTATTTAATTTTTTTTTTGCAGTGATGAACACTCAAGGCAATCCTTTTCATTTGCTAAAACCTCGTAAAAACCCGCACAAAAGCACACAAAATCCAGCCCCTTCTTTCTACATTCTCTAAAACGCGTGTCAATCATTTGCGTAAATTAAAAATAAAATAAAATAAAGAAGCCAACCACCCAAAGCTGACACCGGCCCATCTTTGAACGCGGCTCCTCGTCCCACGACAGAGTAACGTGCTATGAAAACGCCTCCAGCGACCAACTTCAGCACCTGCTTCACGTTAAGCGCGTCGTTGCCCTGCGTCCTTCGACACCACGCGATTTCCATCCTGATATTTTCCGACGCCAATATTTATCGTACGATCATCGAAAACGAGGGGGACAGCAGGAGGTGACACCTCGGGCGACCCAAAGCCGGACCAGCCCGCCAAACCTGCCAGGACGGAGATGCCACCACTGCTCCGGGCCGCCCTTCGCGTGAGGCGTTATTCCTAACGTCCAACCGCAGCCACGGGGACAGCCCGGCCCCATCCTCGCTGCAACCCCCTGCAGGGAGAGGAAGGCCTATTCAACACCCCCC